AAATCAAACTCTTGTTAGACAGACAAAGGGAGAGAAGAAAGAGAAAAGAAGTCTACCCTCCTCCTATTACTTAAGATTTTATTTTTACTTCGTATGTACAATCTATATGTACAGGATGTAGATTAGAGGTACTTACCAGGTACACAAAAACTGAGCACAGAAAAAGCTCCGATGTAAACTTGGGAGACTCGGTCCTCTGCATGAAGTAAACAAAATTAGCCAAAACCTTTTGCAACTAAAAAAAGATACGACCAAGAAATGAAAAGGCATGTGCACAATTGGAACTCAAATCAAAAGAATTTGTTTCTAAAGTACCATGATAAGGAACACACTCGATCGTTTTCATAATTAATGTAAGAAAAACTCCTCTCTCCACATGAAGCTTCCCTCCACGAGAGCTCAATTCCATTTACTAACCCATGGTGGATGTCCAGGTAGGAGGGGTTCTCGTAATTCTTCTCCCGCATTGGTGGTATACCTGCCATTAGCTCAATACGGCATGAAGGTTTTAACTCATGTGGAGTTGTGCTTCCAATTTTCACATAATAATACCTTTGGCCTTCAGATTCAGGCCTATAAGGTGTGAAGAAAGAGCTGCTGTTTATGCAGGCAGGAGCTTCCACATAACGCGAGGCATTTACAAAATTTTCACAACTTATGAAAAGAATGATCTCCGAATAATCACGAAAAAGACCAAAAGGCGTTGAGAAGTCCCAGGAATATTGAGGTATGGAGCAGCTCCCTTCCTTAACACTAGCGTCAGCTACTCGAATTGTGAGATTGTCATAATTGATTGCTCTCACATAGAATTTTCCTGATTTAGAAGGGAATACTGTAAGGTTTTTCTCACAGAACAGAGAATATGCTGGCTCTGTAGCCTCTCCGCAGTGAGGCGGATCTGTGTTTAATCTGAAAGGGTATGTAATATTCAAATTATTCCCACAAGAAGAAGGTGGACAGTAACGTGCATCTTGGGCACTGCAGGTCTCCTGAATTAAGGCGAGAAG